CTTGGCTTCATCTACACCGGCATTGCATCTCAGGCCGTCATCCCAAATATGAGGAGCTAAAGTCAGCAATTAGCCAATCGAATTGCATGGTTGGATATGGCTGGTACTTTGCAAACAAGCTTCAGCAGCTGCAGCGGAGCCTCCATCTCAACAGGACAGTGGCCCTGCAATCTTTTTGTGATGCGTCGGAGGTGCTCGATAGCCGTAGCAAGTTGCGCCGCCTTCAGGGGGACAGCGGTCATAACATGCTGCTCGCTAGGATTGTGGATCAGAAGCTCTAGTGATGTCCTCCACCTAACTCTTGCATCTTTTGGAGACCTTTTCAGTGCTGTCTTCGCCCCGAGAGTCTTGGGCATGAACCCTGAGCGTAATGGCCCCATAAGCCTGAAGCTGCAGCCACGAACATAGACCTAATCCGAGCACTTGGTTTATTAAAGGGGTTCACATTTAACGAATTTGTTTGATAGAAATAGGCCCCAAAGACTCCGTACAGTTAGGTGGCTTTTCGCATGGGGAGAAGGAACTACAGGGGAACGCATCTTGAAAATAGATCCCTATTCATTTGTTTAATTAATAGAGGTCTAAGAGCCTCAATGACCCAGGGATGATTTTCCTTTGGATTGTTAATATAGATTCAATACATTCCTATTCACTTTTTAACTTTTTAATTGGAAAGTCCAGGAGCCGCAATGATCGAAGAAGGATTTTCCTGTAATCTAGCGCCCCTCATTCCTTATTCTGGCGGGGGGGGGATCCCCAAAATTAATCAAGTGCTAGGATTATCACGGTTGCGCCTCCACTCTGTGCCCTGCCTGAAGCAGGGTCGGAAGTGGCCTTAATAGCGCAACATCAGGACTCGTCATGTACTGAAGCCCTACTTTCAAATGTCTTTTGCTAGGCCTGCTAGGCCACCTCGTCAAAAGGACAGGCGAACCGCGCCCCTTCCCGCTGCCGAGGAACTTGGGGCCATCAAGTCGCCAAGCCTTGGCCACAGAGATTTGCTCAGCATCGCTCGCTCCTATCAAGACTCGAAGGTGCGAAGACCCCATCCCCAATCCGTGCCTCCGCATGCTTCGGCGGAGTCTCGGGGCTTGAGGCCTTGGCGCGGGAAGCTCTGCTACAATTGCCGCCCTACATGAATAGAGAAACACCTTTCACCGCAGAATCGTAAGCAAAGCTTCAGTCTCACATCCGCCTGGTGTTCAATGGCTTCGTGCGCAATGAGAGCCAACTCCGGAGAGTGACACAAGGGTAACATAGGGATTTCGGTGGCCACAGAAGGCTTGTGCTTTAGATCCCAGTGGCCTCTCTGAATGTTTGAGAGCACGGCGAAAATTAATACTACCGATAAGAATACAAGTAGTACTAGCATGCAATACCAGCATGCGTAACAAACAGAACCAGAACAGAAACGACGTTTCTGACAGATTGAGAACTAAAGAATTACTAGCGACGTAGGCAGCTCCAGGTATTGACCGCAGAATGCCTGCCTGTAAATGTAGGGCAGTAGAAGCAATTCTGCCAAAGACAAGAACCACTGCAACAGCCATATGGGAAAGGATGGTGATGGGATTGGTGGTGATTGATGTTCCTGACGGCGGTGATACAAGTAGCGATGATGAGGCTTGAGCCGGCTTGAGGGTTCCTACCTACTTAACACAACACATGCTGCGCATTGACCTGCTCCCGTGAAGTTCATGAAATCTGAAGAACAAGGTTTTCAGCCTGGCATTGCTAGACATTCACACCACTGCTCTCCCTCAATCACCAGTGAGACTATGTCACCTCCAAAACAAGGCCCTCGGCTTAAATGTCTAAATAAGCAGACTGCCAGCGCTGGGAGATATGATGCTACGCTTCAGCACGCGATATGAGGGAAGCATGGATGCAATGGTCCAAGCTCCTACGGTAGCGTAGGAATAGCAAGAGGGGGTCCATGGCAATTGACGTTGTCATTGCCAGCAATCAAGAGGTCAAGAATTGTGGCGCAATCATTGCATCCCTCGTAAAAGGAACAGCCAGGAAGAAGCAGTAAACGAAGAACCTGTGACACATAGCCTATAACCCAAAAACCCAGGATGGGAATTCCTCGAAATTAGGAGTCACAATTTTGAGATGTTTGCCTGTGGTCCAGAAAACATCACAAAGCTGTACGAGTCCCCAACCCGGCACGGGGTCGCAAACGGCGAAGCCCCGGGCGAAGGAACATCCTGGGCCGCGCTGCGGTGCTCATAGGAGGAGAATGAAGGCAACAGTACATGACAGAAGTAATCATCCTAGTCGTAATCATGGTCGTAGTGATAGCAGTAGCCAAAGCAGCAGCAACAGCAGTAGCCACAGCAGAAGTTGCAATAACAAATGCCAGTAGTAGCACTAGCATTTGCAAATCGATAGCAATAATCATTATGAAAATACTGAGAACAATGAATATGGAAGTTCTTACCATATTCACCTCAGTATCAGAAGTAATGGTAACAGCAATGGCGTAGGACATGAACAAATGATGGTCAGCTGTCAAGACGCTGGGACCTTCTTGGACCATTACTGCAGCTCGCCTAATACGAATAAGTTGCCATTCGCAAAAAGGCTGCTAACTCTGGCAGATACATGCAGGGTACTCAGACAAATATACACCAAAATGAGGTGGCACTCAAAGTGTGAAAGAGGGATTCTATGGAAAGTAACGAGGCCCTCCATAGGATGTTTAGGGGAACCATGTTGGTTCATAGCCATACACGGGGTCTCTAGTTTGTGGTCCCGAGTATGAGATCTTGAGGGCTGACGGTGAAGGTTTCGGGCGCCGGGCTTCCATGGAAGGTCTGGGGCAAACTCGAAGCTGACTGTTAGGCCAGGATTTTGGCTTCTGGAAAACCATGGAAACTGAGCTTGCCACTGCGGTCAGCTCCTGCAGCCTCGTTGGACAGGTGCAAGTGGTTGGATCCATTTGGTGTAGGGCACGGGTTGCAGTTCTTCTGCCTGATGCTCCGTGCAGGATAAAGTCAATGCATATAAGTCGTCTCCTCTAATCTGCTTCAAAGCAGGCAGAATTCCGGATGCATCAAAGATAGGCCTGCGGATGTCTCTTAAAAAGAATGCTTAATCCTGATGGTAGGTTACGGGAGCCTGGATTCAAATGGGTAAGCCGCCTCATGGAATCCCCTCCCATTCCATGCGGGAGTCTTTGCGGTAATCGAAGATTCCTCCCTTGTGGAGTGCAGAATTCCGAGTCAATTACTGTTCATGTGATGACACAAGCAGTTGTGAGCTGCACAACTGCTGCGGGACTGACATGCCCCATGTTTCCCAAGTTCCTCCAATACTCCTTGACATGCGGAATGCACAGTGAAGAGATGTAGACTACTTGTATTGGAGTGAGTGTTCTGCCAAACAACGCGCTCTAGGCATCTACCTCGACGCCGTTTGAAACTATTTGCATGCTGGCCTTCTGGTGCCTTCAAACCTTACTTCTGCGCCATCTCGAAACCAGTAATCTGGCCCTACCCAGACCTTTCAACCCAAACCCTTCCGTCGAGCAGGGAGCCTGCACCCGACCAGCTGTAGTGAAGGGGTCTGAGGGATAAGCGCATAGGGTATGCAGGTGTATGGGCACCAATTATTTTATATAATATGCATGGTATGGGGTCTGATCGGGGCTAATGGTACCCGTTAGGAGCCGTTAGTTCCACCTAAACTCCAAGATATTTAGGATTCTCCAAGCTAACCTGAAGTCCCTGTGCAAAGAACGCTATGCTGGGGCACCAGGCAAGTTCATGATGGCCCAACCGCAGCAGGCTGTCGGTCAACCACAACAAGCGTAGAAAAAAAACCAATGACAGCTGCGGCGGTCTTTGAGTGACACCAATCTTTCTCTGTCAAAGGGATACCCGCTTCAAAGAGATCTGATGACGCCCCTTGCTATGCTGTCGCTCACTCCTTACTCAACTCTAGGACACTTGGGAGTTTCTAAAAAAGGGGGGCCTTCAAGGGACCCCAAGGGATATAGAGGGATTGTCAGGGGATTGTAGGGGGGCCTCTTACGGGATAATATTGAGGAATACCCATTTGGAGGCAGCTTATGCCAAACTGATCCACACAACGGGCATGGTCCATGCGTTAGCTTTTGATTCCGCACAAAACAACATGAACCACAAAACACCTGGACTGCTCGTCTCTCATATACAAATTGAGTGTTCGCATCACGGGCCTGGAGCCCTGCATCTGAGGGTCCAAAAAACGCTATCTTCTGAGGTTCTATGTTTGCGCTACAGTAGGAGTAGAACGGGCCAAGCCATCACGCTCTCATTTCAGCATTTTAACTTTAGACTCTTATAGGTGATAGGACGGATCCCGGGCCGAAGGCAACATCATCGCATTGGCCAGAATACCATCAGGACGCCCAACAAAAATTAGGAATGACCATTTGCACCCTGCAGACCCGTAAACAGCTGCAAAGAGCTGTCCGGAGCTCCCCTTATGAGAGGGATACGAAACCCAAACCCTGAACCTGGAAACGCACGCTGACAGCATGTGGCAAGACCAAGTGCACGCACGTTGCAAAGTCACACTTCTCCTTTGGGGGTTTGTACCTTTTTGATCCTTTGTGGGTGTCCCCATAAAAAGGATTTGTATATATTTCGGTCCCCTATTTTGCAGGCGCCTCAGTTGCGAGGCTCGACAGACTGCCGACAACTGGATAATGGTCCCCCTATTTTGGGAAACTAGCGTTTGTCATCCACTTTTTCAATTCTCCATTCATGTGCACAGGCCTCCCGAGCTTTCGGGTGCAATGCTGAGAAATTGCCGCATAACCGTTTGATCGATCATTGGTCATCAGGATGATTGACTTTTCAAGCCTCCATGACCATTGTCGAGCCTTCATCGGTAAAACGCGGGACAGTTTGAAAATGCCGTAATCGCGGTGCGGCTGAGGGGAAACCTGGACAGCAGTCAGGCGCCTTCTCTTGGCTTCCAATCTGCTCCAGGCGACATTTGAAGGTTGGCTAGAACCACTTTGAGCAAGATAAGGCGAGGATAAGACTCTGGATGCTCAGAATCGCGCACGCTGACCTGGAACTGCTTGCCATTCCGGTCGTGGATGAGACCGTTGCAGAGCTTGACGCGGAGGTGGACGCGGAGGTGGAGGTGGTGGCCATGTCAAAGAGATTGGAGACTTCCCATGTCTGGCCGTCCACGTAAGGCCAGCAGGTGCTGTCAAAGAACACCCTCCGGGCTCCCAAATAAGCACCGCCCGCTTGCGTGGCATCATAGAAATGAAAGGTGACGATCATGACATGCTCACCAACAGCGTCCGTGTATTCGAAGAATGCCACATGCCCAGGCCCGATGTACCGACTACCGATCGCAGACTTGTCACTTGCAGAAACGTTCAAGGCAGACCGCAAGAAGTAAGAGCCGCCAGGGTTCTGCGTAGTGCTGTCAAGCACTGCCATGTCCATTCCGTTCTTGTCCAAGTAAGGTCCGAAGGGGTTTGTTGATCGCCCCATGACCGTCTCGTATGTTGAGCCCAGGCCATTGCAGCACTTGCCCCAAGTCCAGAACAAGTAGTAGTACTGAGTCCCACCACATTCTTTCGGAAGAACAGCTGGTGCCTCACCAGTGCGAGCGTTTGGGAATTCCACATCGTCGGGGTCCGAGTAGCAAGTGGCACAATCTGGTAGGCTTCCGCGACCGCGCCAGACGCTGAGGTGACAGATGTTTTACCAACTGTGTCAGGAGACACGAAGCCATCATCGTCAAGAAGCACAATCTGGGCTCCACCAGGCATGTGAGAGCCCCACACCAAGTAAAGCTTTCCATCAAAACCCTCGAAGACGTCGGGGTCGATTCCCAAGGCCTGGGTTGTCTCAGCAGCCCACTCCTGCTCGGTTGCAAAAATTACGTCGGCTGTTGGCATGCCATTGTCGTCCATGACGAGATTGCTGCAGGTCACTGGCTTGTCATCAGACACCCACGTCTCATCCCTGTTGCCATTTCCCACTGCCCGACCAATGCACGCCGCACCCATTTCTGCGCCACTGCCTCTGCAGGTGCTGGATAGGTGGTCGGATTGAGAGAAAACAAGGGCACAACAGCCTACAGCATGTTGATAATTGAAGTGCTCTCTACGACGGCTTACAGACCGCTTGCAGTAAGGAGGGCACCTTGAAGCATGTACACGGAGAAGTACATCACACAATGGTACTTGTTCGCGTTCTTCGTGGAGCTGAAGGTTGGGGAGCTCCTCTGATGTTTTTGGGCTGCCTTCAAATGATCTAAAACGTGCACCGAGGAACGAATGCTCAAATGTGCAGTGGCCGGAGCTTCTCCCAACATGGTCCTGCATTTCAGCCCTGGGGCATCAAATGAGCCTGTGGCATGCGCACCATTCTGCCAGTCACACCGCGCAAAGCGTGGCCAGTCGGTGTTGCTGGCCTTAGAGGCACCATGCTGACTCACTCCTTATGGCAATGAAGCCTAACAGTCCACACTACGCGACTCATTCTTAGCGAGCTTCCACGGGACCCTTCAGCCCGAAGGCGGACTGCGTGCTGGCACCAAACTTGCCTTCGGTGGACGCGTCCGCAAAGAAGTTTCCAACGCCCAGAGCCTGCGAAAATTCCTTGGCAGACGGCAGGTTGCCCCAGGCATCACTAAGCTTCAGAGCCAAGCTGCGCAAGCGCATGCAAGTGAACAGAAGAAGTCCAAATTTTGTATCTGTGGCTCCCAGTCATCAGATCCCCAGCCGCACGGTGCCACGCCTTTACCACTGGTCAAGAAGAACACGTGGCCATCCTGACCCACGTTGAAGTTGGTTGGGTCATGGACGAACTCCATGAACTCTAGTATCTCTGGATCCGTGGAGCCAGCGTTCACGGCTTGACCCTTTACTTGGTATTGTCCAGAGCTGATCAAGGGCACGGGGTCTGGGCCTTGAGGCTCCACAAAGGCCACCCTGCAAGTGGGATTGGCATTGGGGTCCACGTCGCCTTCCGAAAGGAAAACGCTCTGGTTCTGGAGCCAAGATCTGAAAGCATCGCGGAGGCTGGTTCCTTTCACGAGCAGTCCCGTCCAGCCAAAATCGTTAAGCCCAAGCTCGCAGTGCCCTACGCAGCTGTGCAGGAAGTATGACGATGGAGCCTGCAAGGTGGACAAGCTGCTCGAGACCGCATCCCGCAACATGTGCTGCGCAGCGCGTTCCTCTTGGGCACAGATTCCTTCGAGGACACAGCTTGTAGGTAATTGCTGCGTCTGAGTCATTTGCCAGGAGTCGTAGAGTGAGTGGAGCATAAAAAGTGGCGTGCGTACAAAGGGCAGCAGGTTCGGAGCCAAGAAGCAACGCCATGGCTCGGTTTCGTATGCCTTGAAGCAGTCTGCGCTCAAGGACGGAGAATTTATCATGTTCATCTCTTCGAACACCCACTTCCAAAGGGCAGCCTGTCCATGCATGCCTTGTGTGTCGGGGAGGTCCACGAAGAAGCCACAGTAGTTCATACCAACCACGTTCACGCCAGGGAAGCGGGAGCGGATAAAGTCTACATGCAGCATGGCAGTGAGCCCTCCAGCGGATTCCCCGGTCACGATGAAATCCTCAGCGCGGCTGAGCCCAGCTGCTGCCAGGCTATCCAAAGTGGCATTGAGGATGTGTGCGCCTCGGAAAAATACCTCACTGCCCTCACCATCAACTATCACTGGGCCATCGACATTGCCAGCCCGGCTCCCGCCATCGCAATAGAGAGCCAAGACCTTGTTCCAATTGTACATGTCTGGGTTGATGTCAGCCTTATTCGACATGTAGCCGTAGGCAAAATCCTGCAGGATAGTTTCTTTCTGAGATGCCCAGGTAGTACTGCTCCCCGATGGACTTTCTGATCTGAGCTGGCACGATGCTAGACTGGTGCACCAACCTCCGCCTTGAAAATGCATGATCCATTTTTGCGCGCCCGCCCCTGAACCCGGCTCAAAGAGATAACCCCCGGGGGAGCCGTCCAAGCAAACCGCTCCCTCTGCCGCAGCATCATTGAGCAGGACCAGCGACCATGAGTCGAAGGCGGCCTGCCCAATGCGAAATAAAACCGCAATCCAAAGAAAAAGGGGCATCATTGAGCGCCTTAGGCGGCCTGAAGCCGAAATTGCTGCTGGATCAGCTTCAGCTTGTGCCCTGCAAATCAAGCCGGCTAACCTCCAACCTGCATACGCGTTGCAACCTAAGACGCGGATGCAATGCGCACATCGACTGGATCCTTTCTGGCAGGCATGTCACCTCTCTGTACAAGGTGATGTGAAAGCCTTGGCCATTTTGGCGTCTTAGCGCGTGCAGTGCTCTTCTTGCAAAGCAGACTCAGCAGGCCCTCAGACAGCTGCACATAATAAACTGGCCTGCAATGCAACCCTCCACTACTCAGTACTTAGTCCGAGCCTTCATCCGCGTCGGCACTGACTTTTGGATCATCTGTTTGCTGAGCTTTTGGACGCAAACCTGCCGTTCGGCTTCCGTGCGCAGCTGGCTCAACTCGCGTCTGTGTTGGTAAACTTCTTCTTCACCAAAATTGTGCGCAGCCACTTGCATGAGAGACTCCACAGACGTGTTGATGCGGGTCAATTCAATCCAATGCCCCATGCTCGTGACAAGCTGACCGCCAGACGGATAAGTCAGGGTCACATGCCCTGCTACCCCACGCTTGCTGGAGCCGTTGTGCTGGACCTCGCACTTCATCGCTTCGGGTACGGTCCCACTGCCAGACCAGCTACCAACCACCGTAAGTACCTGGTGAATGGAACAGGCATGCAGAGCTCAGACATGCCCTGGTTCATAATGCCAGCATGCTCGAAACAGAAGCATTGCAGGATTCGCTTCGTTGGCAGACATTTTTGTAAGCAGACAGGTGCTGTGTGTCTTCGTGTTGCCAACAAATCTAAGAGCTGCATTCTGGCAAGTCAGGCCTGACATTTCCGTATCAAACAAGCAAATGGTTTGCTTCTTCCCTCATGTCATACATTTACGATTAGTCAACTTCTCACCACCATAACTTTCACGGCAGCTAGATGTTATTTCTCTTTCTGAATCCATGGCCTGAAGCTGGTACGCATCTGTCTGCGGCCTCCTGGGATTGATCGTATAAACAATCGTGTCGCTCATGGCAGAGACGATGGCCTTGCCCTCTTGCGCGCACAGCTCGCCAACAACTTGCAGCTGCCTGAGCTATCGGGGAAGTGAGGCATCTTACCATCCTCTCTTTTCTAAGGAAGGCGCCTCTGCATACTGCCTACGACCTTGTTTTACAGGGCAATCACAGCTCTCTGAGTTCAATTTTGACAGGGTTCATCTTCGGGCCCAAGTAAGTCAGCACAAACTGGGCAAGAGATCTTAGAGCATCTTGTCTATGTTACGCATTTTCTGCGGCTGCATGCTGTGTATTTAGAGCTTTCAAACGCCGAAGCAGAAATGCAGAACACAAGATGCCAACAATCTGTAATCTGTGGTTTGCCGAAGCACTGTGGAACCTCATCCTGAGATTTTAAATGCTCTGGGAAGAAGTCCAACTGGAACTGATGATCACATTGGCATGGGAGCACGGTGAATGGGTTTGGGCCCAGCAAGGCCTCCGACCACTCTGACAGCAAGGCCTTGAGGCTGAAATCTGAACACATCACCTCAGAGGATCTGAGCAGAAGAACTCTAAGTGCACGATAATACAAGAATGCAAGCCCAATGTGGATGAGGCATCTGAGCGTCTCACGGTGAAGCCTCTCTGCAGCGCTTGACCGATGATCTGCATGGTTGCACTCGGTGCTCCGAATGCTCGGCGCCGGCCAAAGCCATGCGGTCCACACGCCCCGCAGCACTCCCAGTTGAAGGTGACGCTATCAGCAGCGACACTGTTGATGTCCTCCAGAAGCTCTCTCCAGCCAGGTTCTGCAGCCCTGCCAGAGAGGAGATCCAAGAGCTTTCCAGCATCATGCACGCTCAAAGCGTAGGTGCTTACTCGTTCACCTGGTACGGTCTCTGGCTTGACTTCGCGAAAGTTCTCATCATAGGACATCTCTTCACCAATGGTGACGACCACCGCGACCAGCTTGTCTTCCTGCTTTTCTGTGTCAGTGAACAACTTCTGCACCTCACCTGGACCACTCTCAGGCTCCGGTTCATGAGGAAGCGCTGTCGAGTACTGGGAGTTGAACGAAGCCTCCGACACGACATCTTCTGCTTCAGCCTGGAAGCTTACCATGCGAAGCTGCTTTCGCTGGCTGGCTCAAACACTTTGGCAAACGACAACATCTAATGTTGGGAAACCCCCAGATCTGCTTTCTGTGGCTTGTGCAGCCCAGGAGCCGCAGATATCGTCGTGGTCTCAAACCATTTGGTCTTGGAAGACTTCTGGCTGAAAAGGCCGAAGCAGGACATTCTGACAAGAAGCAAAGGACTACTGAACGGCGGAGGGTTGCAATGTGCAGCGATGCCTGAGCCGAAAGCGAGGCGCGCGAAGAATGCGAAGCAATGAGGCTGCACTACATGGCGTGGGGTGGGGTGATCTAAACCTGCAGAACACCCACTTGTAGGAGAAGACTCAGTCAAACTTCTGACAGTCTGCATATGACGAGGATGGAGACCATGCATGAGAAGCATCTGCTGCATCTTTCTGGGCGAGACAAAGCATTTGATGTCTCGGGCGAGGATTGTCCTCTTGCTCCATCAAACCCTGTCATCATCAAAGTGCCACTTGGACCTTACTCTCACGGCTGATGTAAGACACCATAGCTCAAAACAGCCGCAAAAGCTGAAGGCGGAACTAAACATCTTGGACGCCCCGGTTAGAAGAATACGTATAAAGCATGCTAAACACAGAAGTACTGCAAAGGCTTGCAGTCCAGTGCCCTGCGCTTGGTCCACCAAGAACCCAACAGCTTTGGTGAGCGGTACCCGACCTAAGATGCTCAAAGTGTACGATCCAATGCGAAACGGACTCACAGGATCAGAAGGGTTAGGCACCTGACTCTGGAGACATACATAGCATCGTCCTGACAGCACACACAGCACGTGCATAGCTTATACCGCAACCGAGCATCACTGCTAAAGCTCCGTCCTGCGGGCGCACCTTCTCTTGCGCACTACTAAGCATCGATACAATGCTCATGCAGACAGCGTGCACCTTGCAATTCTGCAGAGCAAAAAACTGTTGAAGGCTGGAGTTCAAGCGAGGGCTGGGCTGTCAAAGCTGGACTCCATGCATCGTAGAGTATGGACAGACAAATGTGCCTCAGCAGCGCTCCAGTGAACGAGATGATGATGTGGGAGTCAGCAGATGATGCAGCAAGCAGGATCATGGGACAAGACAAGCCGTATTCGCTGCAAAGAAAATTTGTCCGAGGTGCCCGTTGGAGTATATATGAGGATGCTCAGGTGAGGGGCCCTCAAATACCACCTGCAGCCACACGGACTCGGAAAAACCATCCAAAGCAGTGTCTGGCTATCAGTTGCAACGCGACCAAAGATTCAAGCGCCTCGGGGCTTTCCAGAGGATATCCTCAGTTCAGGATCGCATGGGTCCCTTACGAAAACAACTGACTGGGCTGCTGGACTTCCGGATCTGTTGCCCTTCACACTTGCAACGTTTGGTGCTGTTAACAAAACTTTTTAAATCAATGCTGTGAGGCTCTAAGCTTTGAACTTGAACTTACGTGATATGCACGTTCTGCTTCCAAGTTTCTGGGTGGGAAAGTGAACCGGAGCAAGAACTGTTCACCAGCGTAGATGGTGCCGGGAGCTGCAAATTGCAGGGCTGAGTGCAGCATGAAAGCGGTAGTTCATGGCTCAAACAGGCTTCCCTTTGTGCTGCATCACTTAGTGAGATGTTGTTTGTGGCTATGGCTGCCTCAGTTCCTTGGCCCTGCTGGCTTTGTAAGTTTGAAGCAGACGTGCCTCCAACCACTTGGATGCGCCAGGTCTCGTCATCACACTCCTGAACGTTGATTCCGTCCTGCTCAGATACAAGGGCACCATTTCTGAGTCTCTTCTGTGTTGCTTCTTGAGCTTCTGGAGTTCTGAACCCACACCACGGCAATGGATAGGACGTGAGATGCTTGCGTCCAAGTCCTAAAATCTACTGTGCATTCCTGCCTCGCTGCCCCGAGCCTTCAGGGCCTCCAGCTCCTGACAAAATTTGCTTTGGCTAGGGGAATGGGTTGGTTGTTGACGGGGGGTAAGGGGGTCACTTTAGCCCCCATAAAATGGGTCACCTTCCGCCCATGTCCATGAAACACTGCACCTGCCAGTGTTTCGCCTTGTAAAACATGGTGAAAACTTATGAAACTGATGAACTATCATGAACCCTGATGAACAATCATGAAGACTGCTGAAACATGGTAAATCATGTTGAAACATCATGGTGAAAACAATGAACACCTGTAAAACGATGAGCAAGTGTGAAGAAAAAAAGACATGACGAAAAAGGATGAAATTGCGGAATGAACTTGACGAACAATAATGAAAACTTATGAAAACGGATGGCAGCTGCTGAAAAACAATGGAACTTATGAAAAATGATGGAATTGATGAACGAGTCTGAAGCATAATGGAAGATGATGCCCACTGATGAAAAATGACGGAAATCAATGATAGAAGATGATGAAATATAGTTTTCGGACCAGAAGACCAGGCGACCACAGGACCAAAGTGCCAATTCAAAAACACAACCGCCCCCCCACCAAAAAAAACGAAAACAACACACATCAATGGCTTCAACGCTTCGGGGTTGTGTAACGTGTCGGGTTTAGGGTCCCTTAGGCAAGTAGCCCCTAGCAACACCACAAATTGACGGGTACAGGCGATCCCTATTGTAGTGGCAAAAGCGACCCCGTTCCAACGGTCAAAAATGACTCCCTGACACTTGACGGTAAAGTTTTCTGTACTTCACCTTTGCTTTATGGTGGTTTCGTGCCGAGTTTAATTTTTCTGGGGAGGGCGGCGTGCGTTGTTCAACATCCTCGGCTTTCCCTTTCCGCTGGTTTTGTTTTCAGTGCGTCACCTTCGCGTTATGGCGGTCGTGCTGGTTTTATCTTTGCTGCGAGGGGGTGGGCACGTTCTTTAAAACAACTTTTCTTCTCCCCCAACCTGGCGTTTGCGCGGTCCCATTAGTACAAGAGTATGAGGACTTGAAGTTCAAATTCTGAATTACCCAGGATTTTGCGCTAAGCCCAATTAGTTCAAGGGTGTGAGGAGTTGAGATTAGAAGTAAACTCTGCGTCGCCCCACAAGTCTAAGTCCAGGGCACACCCCATTCGTTCAAGGGCGTGAGGGGTTCTGATCTTGATCCTGAGTCACCCCATGAGTCCCGGGCACGCTCCATTAGTCCAAAGGTGAGGAGCTTCAGTGTTCATAAACATCTTTGCGGACCATACTCTACGTATGTTTGGATTGCAGGTTCCCACAAAGCTCTGAGCACCATACATCCTGTCTGTTTTCATTTTCTGTGCCAAAAAGGCTGCCAAATAAGTAGTTCGCGGACCCCCGAACTCGTGCCCCCCAAACTTCAGAAATGCTGGCGGGCGCAGCACTCTCACAAAAATGCACCATCAATAAGCAGTCGCCGCCCTCCTACTCGTACTCATACTCCTGCTACTACTATGTCTTCTTGTAATACTTGTAAGATTGTAAAAGACTTCGCAATGCTTTCAGGCCTGTTTTTACCATGCCTTCTGCCCCAACTGTTCAGGAAAAAGGCTTGGCACAGTCCAAAAATGGGCGGGCATCGCAGAGGGATTCCCTCATTTAAGCGGAATCTTAGGCATGCACCCGTTGCAATCCAAACCCCTAAACCCCTGAACCCCTAAACCCTGAACCCCTAAACCCTAGACCCAAAAAACCCTGAACACCTAAATATCGGAATCTGAGCTTCCCCAAGCTACTTCCAACCGCAGGCCGGCCTTTTGTAGTCGCTTTCGGAAAGGAGTTCTCGATGGCAAAGAAGCCTTCGCTGCTCAGCGCAAGACCCAGACTATTACTACTATCACTGTCATTGCCGTTCATGGCAGTACTATTACTATTATTCCTACTACTAATATTATTGCTGTTAAGAATTTATGTATTTCTGAAGAAGCAACGGTCTCCCTTCTCGCCATCGCCTGCCTCACTAGCCATGAGCACGTCAAGTGCCGCTCATGGCCTGGCCAATTCAGAGCTTGGCTGGCTCCAGGGGTTTGACAGATTATAGCTCTATAGTTGCCCTTAGGTAGATAGAATATGGCGTTGGGTAAATTTGAATACGATCCCCATATACCCCATATTCTATCTACTTAAGGGGGACTATAGGGTTTAGGGCTTAAACTTCTGTCTCTACTTGCAAGGAGCATACCTCATGTCG